GCATGATTTTTTCAGTTTGTACACATTGGGCATGGTTATATTTTTGCTCAGGACGTATATATATATATTTTCTGCTGAACTTTTCTCGATTGCTTTTTTTATCGGGTTTACAAATCAAATCAAACAGGTATATTGCAGAGCTCTGATATTATTTTCTGTGCTTATAGCACAATGTATTGAATTATGCTTGCTCATGTACTGCTGCTGCTATTCTCTCCAGATTGAGAGAGAATGACTGTGGGGGCTGTAAATTCACTTGGCTCCCAGCACCACTGGTTAAATCAAGAGCCCTGTTCAGGCTGGAGAAGAGACAGAGCAAGTGTTCATTACACAAATCAATTTGGTCAAAAGTACAGCACAGTGGGTACCCAACCATTGCTCACATAATATTGTCAACTTAATCAAATAATGCCTAGAAGACATTCACAAGCTCTTTTTCTCTGAGAAATAACTTGATTGGTGCAGCAGGAAAAAAAAAAAAAAAACCAAAAACCGGTGCTGTTTTGAGCATTCATTAAAAAAAATTCAGTGGGTGCTTTCTTTTTTGCTAAATTTAAAATTCTGAAGAGCTTTACCCTATGCTTGTTTGTATACATGAGACACTCAGCACTTAATTTACTGCTGATCATATTAAAAAAAATAATCTGTTCATTTTTTTTGTTTTTGCTCTTGCTTTTCTCCCTGTAAATATTTTAGATGTTATTCCTGCTAGAATTAGGCTTTTCTTCCTCTTGACTTGGTATGGGTTTAAAAGATATGCAACAGATTTGTGTTTGTTTGCAGATTATAGCAGAATGATCAGGACTTGGTAAAGATTCTTCATGTTCCAGTAATACTTATTTTCCCTTTGTCCAGAAAAACATAAAAGGTTTAGATCCATTTCAGGCATTCCTACGGTCTGTGTTCCATTCAGGCTTTAAATACTGATATTGGGAACTGTGTTCCTGTAGGGGTGTGCAAACCCTTTTCTGCATTTCATTGTGTTGGAAACAGGCTTTGAGGGTGAAAGATTTTGTGCACACCATCGTGGTTTTGTAGGAAATGAAAGATATTAGGCAGTGAAAAAGAATGGAGGGAAAGTGGAACACTTAAAATTCCTGTGTAGGGAACATTGCAGGGCTGGCTGTCTGCAGTGATGGATGGAAAGGGGCACAGAAAATTGCTATTAGCCAGGAAGGAGAATGGAATGGGGTTTTTCTGCCCAGGCAATGTGCACAAGGCCCTCTCTGGTTTCAGGTTCACTGACCATTGTTTTTTTGTGTGTGGGGCCTTTGCCACAAGGGCTGGGGGTGGGAGATGAGACTCCAGTGTCCAGTCAGGAGCAGCTGGGAAATGGGGTTGTTATAGGGCTGCATGAAGGTTTTAGAATCTATTTTCTGAGTGAAAGTTGCTGCAAATTTTGATTAAAATGGCCTTAAAGGAAGGGGGGGGGGGGGGAGTTAATATTTTTTTCCAAACAAAAAATTGTCAAATTTATTTTATCCAAACACATATTTGGTTTAGTGGTTTTCTTCACTTGTATAATTTTTGTTTCTTAAATTCTCAGGAAACAAGCTTGGAAGGGAAACCAGAAAAATTCCTTTAATAATTTTACTTCTTTAAAACTAGTTTAACAATTTTACTGTGAAGTCTTTAAGAACTTGAGTAAAGTCTTTTAAATAAAGAAGTTTCCTTAACTGGAAATGAGTTAAGGAAACAAAAAGAAAAGTATTTTGCTGAAGGTAAAGAATTTCTTTAGAAAAAAATAGATATTAATTCTCCTCATGATGAATTTGGTTTAAAAGGATACTAAATGTTTGTACTGAAATTATCTTACATGTAAAAAAGAAATCTTTTTTTGGAAATGCCCTCTTTGATATGCCCTCTTTCTTACATGTAAGAATGTTTCAATTCTAATTTATTTTAACACTTAAGCCTTCAGTAGCTCACTGAAGTAAAGGGAGCTCATCTCAATTTGTTTTGCTGTGAGTGAGAATTTGATCTTCTATTTCTGCATTCTGTTTTTATAGCTTTCATTATAAGTCTTAAGACTATCATATATTAAGAATCTTTAATATTTTATAATTGCAAATATGTGGTGGAATAGGGGCCAGAAAGCAGCCTGATTGCATCCAGGATTGCAGGGATGGAGGAAGGACAATGCCACATCCTCACATCCATTAATTTTTAAAGGACTATCAAACACCACTCTTCAGGTCCTCCAGCACTGAAGGTTTTCTCCTGAAATGTATTCTGCATGTGTGAGGTAAATTGCATTCTGGTTCCATGAGTCCACAGAGCTCTGAGAGTTGCCTGGCTGGGATTTTTCAAAATCCAGCCTGTCCTCTGCCCCTGGTGTGTTTTACCTCCTTGTGTTAATTTCTGCATCATCCTCACATTCCAGTTTCAGTTCGTGGTTATCCTTGTCCAGATCTCCAGGCACAGCTGTGGATTTCTGGATGATAATGTGCTTTGTAAAGAGCCTGTTACATTGCCAAGCCTTTTCATGTGTCCTAAATGCTTTAGCCCTGTTAATTCTGCCCCAGGGATCTTGAGGGTCGTGGACAGTTATGAATTGTTGGTGACAGGGACTTGCTAAAGTTTCTGGTTTTCAGCCCGCGCTGCCCAGACTACGAGACATTCTATGCTGAGAGTGCAAATTTGAGACTTCTTAAAATAAAAAGGATTTTAAAAAGTGGTAAAACCAACCAAAGGCCTGGAAAATACCAGTACCTGGATTTATTCTCTTCACCTATAATTTGCAGCTCCATTTTAACACCACCCTCAGAAACCTCACTGGATTTTGTGCACTGTAATCTGTTCAGCTGCTAAGTAGCTCCCAGTGTTTTGGGATGTTTGTGGCGCACAGCTCAGCCCTTCTACTCCTCATTTCTATGAATAAAATGAACAGAGATTACTCTTTTCTATTTGCATTTATACAGGACACTGATTATATAATTTCTTCCTTGGGCACCCTCTGTTCCTGAAGCTTAACAGCACCTTTAGAATTCTGCAGTTCTCTTCAGATTAATGTAATTGACCTCAAATTCTTCAGGAGTGTTTTATTTCAAGAGTTTCCAGTCTGTCATCCCCCACCTGCTCTCACATACCAAATTTCTTTTTTATTTCTCTCCTTTTATGCCTGAAGGTAGAAAATAATCCCTGTGGTGTCTCTGGGTGAAACAGCTACCTCAGAATCTCAAGTTTGAATTTTTGAGTTGATTTTAGCTAACAGTACATTAGCATGGAACATTTTTTCTCTTGACAGCTATATACCATATTTCCTATCTAAATCACTAAATATTCATAAAGATTAATTATTTACTTTGTGGGGCTGTGATTTCAGGGAGTAGCACATGAAGAGATGTGGTGGCACTGACTCAGTTTTAGGTTTACACTTGATCTGATCCCATTATTTGTTTGGATCACTTGTAAATCTTCCTTCAGTGCACACAAAAGTTTGTGTTTGTGTGTGTCTCATCACATCCTCTGAAATACCAGAGATGTTCCTGATGGACTGATGCTGCTGCAGAAATGAGCACCTGTTCTTAGCACAGAAGTATAGGCAATATAGATGATAGCACTTTTAATTTGAGAATATTTGTATTACTTAGGGAGGACATTGTTGAATTTCACTTGCTAGAATTCAATTTCTGTGTAGTTATTGCTGATGTAAATGATGTGTTCTGTTTGAGTTCTTTTGCTTCCTCTTCAACAGGCTTGTTGGTACTAAAACTGTGTGGTAAGGTTTATTTTATTTAACCATTTTTATGTTGCTTAAACTGTTGTGTCCTAAAAGAAATACTAGAAATACTAGCAGGAAATAGGCAATTTCTCCTTTTTGTTCTTTAAAAGAGAAAACTCAGACAAACTGAATGTAACATTAGCACACAAGAGAAAGATGAATAATGAGAAAAACAACGGGGTCAGAAGGAAAAAGGAAAGAGCAAAGAGAGTGATAGATTTCAGATCATCCTTGTAGTTTTTCATTCAATCATTTTCTTTCCCCTTCTATTCTTCCCAACCCTTCTGCCCATGCACAGGAGTGACTGTGCTGTTTTAAAATACCCATACAGAGCCTTGGCTAATGATTGTGTGCTGTACAAGCAGTAATTAATTAGGCACTGTAGGACGTAATTAAAGAACAGAGATGAGTAATTTCTATAACATACTGATAGACCAGCACTGGTTAATTTTACTTTTTGGATAAGGGGCATTTTATGGTTTTTTCCTCATCTTACTGCAGATTTGTGATTTGTTTGTTAAATCATAACACGTGGCAATGTCCTTCTGTTTTAAACCAGAATTTTAAACCCAGGGAACGCTGTCTCTGTCAGAAGCACCATGACATAACCTCACTTTGGTGAGGAAGAAAATCTGCACAAGTTTGTTTCTGGATCTCACACTTGTGTCAGGCAACCTTCACCACTGATTAAACTTCTGTTCCCTCTCACAACTCAAGGCCTTTTCCATAATGGACACCATTTATGTGGACAGAATGACCCTCCAGTGCCCATCAGCACTGCTCATGAGATGGCAAACAGGAGGAGATGTGTTATCTGCCTGCTGTGGAGAATCCCAGTGGCCTCTCAATAAAAGCTCTAATCTCATTTCAAAGGGTCTGGCTTGCTCTGCCAGCAGAGAGCATTTGGACTGCAGATTCTGTTCCTTACCTTGGCAAACACAGAAAGGGTTAAAGAAATTTCTACAATCTTATAGGGAGATATATTCATTCATTGTTTAAGAGCAGCTAAGCAAATCTACAAATAATAATTTACTCATTGTCCAGTTTATTCCAAATACATATTATCACTGGAAATGTATGCTCTTGAGACAGAAATTGTTTTGATTTTCATGTATTTAAACTTCTGGTATTCCTCACTACTTTGGAGCAGATATAACTGATTTTAGTTTGTTTGGTTTTTATTGTTTTTTTTTTTTTTTTTTTTTTTGAGGATTTAAGTTCACCCCCTTGTATTAACAATACTTACAGTGTGCTTTATTTTGCTTTACCCTTTTAGCAGACAGATGATGCAGCACAGACCGATGGCCAGCAACAGACACAATCTTCTGAAAACACAGAAAACAAATCACAGCCCAAACGGCTCCATGTCTCAAATATACCCTTCAGATTCCGGGATCCAGATCTTAGACAAATGTTTGGTGTAAGTGCTCATATTTATTTCTGGTTTTTGTTTTTTACATTTGCATTGCAATAGGTATTTTGTATTACAAGCAGCTGTGAGGGGTGTATATCTGATTGAGGCTGTTTAACCATTTTCAGGAAAGATTCCCCTTTAATCTGTGTGTAATCAAACATCTGATTTGCCAGTGACAACTGGGATATGACACTGATTGTGCTGGATGCGATGCACTTGGGTGATTTGTACTACATGCACAAAAAGCTGTTTGTGGTGGTTTAAATGCATACATATTGCTGCTGTACACATCTGGATTTATCTGCCTGCCTTTATTGATTTTGGAGAGTGTGATGTTAAACACTCAGTTTAACATCACACTCTGAGTAAGGCAGGCACAGGCTGAATTTCAGCGCAAAGTTCAGACACAGGAATCCTCACCCATCTCCACATGTTTTGTAGGTCTGCAAAAAGCCTTTGAAGGTTTTTGTTAGTAGTTTTCTGTTAATCTCTCAGTTTGTGCTTCCCCCCAGGCCACAGCTGCCTTCAAGCACATGCCCTGTGTTTAACACAGGCTCTGGACACACCAGCAGCAGTAGGATTATAAACACGAGAGCTTAGATTGGCTTTCTACTCCCTGATCCAAGAACCCTCAGGTTTAGTTTGAAATGCCACTAAACCTCATCTAAAATGTACTCGATCATCTATTGGAACCCAAGTCAGGACTGAAGTATTTCTGTTACTCTCACTGTATTTATTCTGCCTCACTAAACCCAATTCTCTCCTGCATCACAGCTGGTTATTCAGTGCAGCACCAAGTGCCTCATGGCTCTGCACTTCTTTCCCTCTTTCATGTTCAGATTTTTAAGTTGTTCTAAAATGTGTTTGTATGTGAGTCAGAGGATGGTTTTTCTCAGTATTTATTCCTCTGTAGGAAACAGTCCCTGGAAAAAGAATCCTGTTGTAATACTGGGAAATGAGTGGCTGTTCTGCCAGATCTGCCTTGGTACAAATTTCCTCCCCTGAACACAGCTTCCAGCTCATCAGCAGAATAGCAGAAGGCATAATAATTAACCCTCCAGAGAAAAATATGCTAATTTATTTAAACTAAACAAACCACTTAAAATAGGTTTTATATGAAAAAAAAATTAAATGAAAGGATTTTTTGGTAGGTATTGTAGTGATTTATAAATGAATAAACGCATTTCTTTTTAGTGTTTCTAAGTCTTAGGTCTCAAAAGACTGACACTGGAGAATGGCTGGAGTTTCCAGCTGACTTCCAGAATGACTTGGTAACAGGAAATTTTAACTTCTGAAATGACAGAGAAATAAGATTTTTGTATGTGTGAGTTGAAATATTTCATATGAAATATGGCAGGTCTGCATTATGTCCATGTTAAGCACACAGTAGATGATCTTTTTACATGGACACGAATATTACAGAGGAGAATTGTTTAAATATCAAGTCTGTGTCTGAATCAAGGCTGAAGTGGAAGTTAAAGCATTGATTAAATGGATGCAAGAACATGAAATAAGCCAAAGTATGCCAAGTGATGGTTGACTTCTCATGGTCAAGTTGAAACTCTTTAATAAGCTAGAGAAGGAATCCTGTCCTTCCTGGCCTGTAATTGTTTATTAGATCTGAAAAGACTGGAGTGCTCATTTCTGCAGTTCCTGGGACTCTTGCTGGATTATTCTCCATTTACCTCTCTCTAATTTCTGCCTTTCTGTTTAAGATATTGGATCAGTTACCAATGCCAGCACTGATGTTAATGACTTCTGAAATAACAGAAATGACTCCCTGATGCATTACATTGCCACCTCACAAGATGTGTCCTAACAGAAAGTGTTCTAACATTTATTCCCTTCCTAAGGCAGATCCAACAGGGCTTGTCCTCTGGGACAAGCAGCTGGGTTCAGATTCTGTGTGTGCAAACAAGGTCTAGTGTATTGAGTGCTGTGGAACGTCAATAGGAATAAAAGTCACTTCTAACATTATACTAAAAATAAAATTTTGAGCAGAGAAAAAAATCCCCCCAAAGAGAGTATCCATTCTAGTTTGCCAAATTATGCTCCATTAAGACAAAACAACTCAGGGAATAATGGTTGCCCATTTCAGCAAGGGTGGAAAGAAATCTTCAGTCCATGAAGCCAGCAAAAAAACTCCCATCTCATTTAATCTTATTCCTGTAATGCAGAAGTGACAAAACTCCTTCACCTCTTCTGGAAAATGCTGAAATTTGGGACTTTACTTCACTGTGCTCTCAGTTTAATGCTCTTTCCTCTCTGTCAGGGGCTTCACTGAGCTTCAAGTTCCACTGTGGAGTGATTGTAATGAACAGAATGATGCACACAATTTAGAAATAATATTGATCTGACTCCTTTTAGTGTTGTCTTTCTTTTTGTGTTTAACATTTGTAAAGCTTTGCAGCATTTCCTGAAACAAACTTTTATATTGTATATGATAGAAGAGTTGAAGTTATCTAATTTTCATGTGACTTTTTCTTTTTCTTTGCAGCAATTTGGTAAAATCTTAGATGTTGAAATTATTTTTAATGAGCGAGGCTCAAAGGTAAGCAGTTTAATTCACCTGTGGAATTTTATGTTTTGTTAAAATATGAGTAAAAGGAAACAACTGCACTGCTGTGACAAAATAATGTCGGAAATTTTATGTTAGTGAAAACATCTTCTGAGCTGTCAGTCAGTTTTCTAAGCAGTATGAAAATTATTGGACTCATATCTTTTAAAGGGGATAATTTTAACTACTCCAAACTGTCATCTGTTATATGGGAATGTTGATTTTTGCTGTCCTTATTTTTCAAGGGTAATTATTTAGTTTATTTTATGAGTCCATAGTTATTAAAGATATTTGTAGGCAGGTTTGTATTAGTACAGGTATTTTTTTTTCCTTTATTGAAATGAAAGATGACAATTATATCTAATAACTATCCTCTTTAGTAATTAGCTAAGAAAATATGTGATTGTTCCAGATTAAGTGCAGATGTTTTCCTCTTTAGTTGAAGCCTTAGTACACCAACCCTTTGAAAACAATCTATTTTAGCATTCATTTTATTAAAAGAGTTCTTTTTGTATTGCAAACATTTAATATTTTTTTCCCAAAAATACTTTGCCTTAAATGCATACTTCAATTTATTCAGTATTTAAGAAATAAAGCAAGATAGAATGCCCAGGACTGCATCAGCTGGTGCAAAACTGTAGCCCAGTGTGTTCACCTGTGATATCAGCTGCATTGTAGGGGTTTATGTCTGTCATATGCATGTCTTTTTTTCATTTTCTTGCCATGTCAGACACACTAAAAAGTTTATTCACAAATGTTTCAATCTTCCTGTAACTCATATATCATTTATTATTAGTGATGGAATGTTATCCCTGCTCTAGACATAGTGTAACCTGTCCTATTTAAAGAATCATATACATCAAAATCTATCTTAAATCAGATGCATTTTAATTCTGTTGATATTTATTTTATGAAATTAGAGCCTTCACTTTTTATTTTAAACCTAAATGGAACAGCTGAAATCTCCTGGTTTATTACTCAGACATTAATTAATCCCCTTGCCTGCCAGCCCAAACTCAGTTGGAACATTCATCACTTTTTCAGTAAACAACTGAAATGGATGGAATTTGGGTGGCTTAGAATCCCCTACTCTGGCCAAAATTTATTATTTTTAAATTATGGTTGTTCAACAATGTTTGCAAAAGACATGGATTGCCCAGACCTGCTGCTGCTGCATAATCCCATTAATTTCCAGAGCCATCCCCCACTTTTGCTGCTGGTGCTGACAGGATGGAGCTGGGCACATCTGGGAGGAGTTTAAACTTTTGTTTAGCCACTAAACCTTCCCCAGATGGGCATTTTAACCACCACACCTGCACAAATGAAAGGTTTTGTTAGAGTTTTGGGGGATGGCATAAGGAGATGTTTCAAATTGAGCTTTTTTTTTTTGATGTTTGCTTGGCAGCATGAAAATATCTCAGTGCCTTGTGCTAAAGGCAAGATCCTGGGAAGGATCTCGGAGGGAAAAGGTTTTTCTGGCTGGGTTTGTCGCATCCCTGCCTCAGTTACACACTTAGGTCAGGTTTGTTGAAGAATGCTCCTGCAGTGCCAGGGCTGCAGCCCAGCTGTCCCCAGGGATGCCTGAGGCAGGGCTGGGTGCATCTCACAGCTCAGGGCTGCTTCCTCCCACCTTGCTCAGAGACATTTTCACCTACAGCTACCGAATATTTCCATATTTTCATTTGCAGAAGTACCTTTAGATTCTCTCAATTAAATGGAAAGTTAAGGAAAAAGAAATGTTAGGAATGAGTGGGACATCTTTTTTCTGTTCTTTCTTTTTCTTTTTTTTTTTATTTTTTATTTTTTTAATCTGATCATTTCGTGTCCATTCTGTAGGAATTAAGATGCACCAGATTAAAGTCCCATTCCTGGCAGTGCTTATCTATGTTTTCATAAAATCCCACTGAAACTGAAAGGACTACTAAGTGGTTTCAGACTGAGTACAGGTAACAAAGTTTGCAGGATTAGAATTCAAATTTGTTTCTAGCTGCAGTTTGGCATAAGAATTGCTAGAATTGTTTTTGTTTCTGTTTCTTTTTCTTTCTTTTTATTCTAATAGTTAATGTTTTAAACAATTGTTGCGAAAACAACAGAAGGAATCTCATTCTCATGCCATAATAGTTAAGAAAAATGGAATTGCATATTCAAAAAACCTAACATTAGAGCTCCACTGTAAAGTATAAAATCATTTTGCAGAAGGGAATCTTTCCGTAAAAGAAAACCCTAAATCAATGAAAGAGTCATACTACAAATTTCTGCTTGTTTGAATGTGTAATCATATTGAAGAAAGCTTTGCTAAAATATATAGCAGCACTGATGACTTTGGAATTTTTGACCATTTTCTATCAGTTATAAATCAATGCTCTAGACAGCTCTGTATATACCTGCAGAAATCTGTTTATGTGTGTATTTATTAATGTGTATCTATTGTATATTATATTAACACCTATTTCTTCAAATAAGGAGAACCCCAAAGTGCCTCCCAAATTAAATCAGAACCTCCTCACATTCTAACTTGGTTATTATTAACTCACTTGACAGATTTTAAAAATAAAAGGCCTATATTTGCATTACCAGTTAATAAAATGCAGCTGTTAACTCAGCTGCAAATTAAATTGATGCTAAAGTGTTTGTGTAGGTATTTGAATGTGTGATGGGTGAATCTGGGTTTTGTTCTTGAGTTTCTCTGTCAGCCAGGTGAAGCTAAAGATTTGCATAAATAGCAAGAGCTTAAGTTAAGTAGTGTTGATTATAAGTACAACATAAGAAATTAAAAAATGACGATGAGTATTATTTTCAGAATCTTTGAAGTTCTTGGCTTGTGGCTCCACTTTTTATGTTTTTCTAATTTTTTAGTATAATTAGGTTTTTATCTTTCTCTTTAGCCATTTGAACAAAAGTTAACTGGTAGCACTGTGAGCTGAGGAGAGTGACAGAAAATTTTGACTTAACTCCCTCCAAATGTTTGTAATTCCAGGAGGGGACAATTTCTCAGGCAAGATAATAGGAAAAAACCAAACAGAATTGGGGGAATTTCTGCTATTGAATGGAGTTACTCTGCTTAGAACCATGGATCCAGTGATGTTTTCTGCTGTGAAATTTTCTTAATGGCGTCCTAAATTAGGAGGGATTTTTTACAGAGTTTTAACAAGATAGGACAATAATTTGTAGAAGAAATAGAAGTTTAAGGTTGAGATGGGTTTAGGTATAAGAAGAGCCTGTGCAAGGATATAAACCATGGAGATTAGTCTGAGGAGGGGGATTTGCTTCCTCTCACCATTCCTGGTGCTTTGGGAAAAAGAGAGTTCCATCCTCAGTGCCTTGTGGCAAGTGAGGTCATGGCCTTGTGCTAAAATTGTGGGGAGTGGTGTGGAGAAAATGTGTGGAATCAGGAGTAGTGAGAATGGATTCAGCTGCTGACAGAGCACTCGGGAACTCAGCTTCAGGCTGGGTTTAAACGGGGAAAAAGAGTAGCTGTGCTTAAGCTGCTTTGGAGAGCACGAAACAGAGACAATACTGTACATAAATGTCTCTTTTTGCATTATAAATGGGAATAAATAACTCAGTTCTTTGAGCAGGTGAAATAAACCAAGTAACCCAGGAAATTATCCTGAGAGGTGCCTCACTTTTTATTGATTGACCAATTAGTTCTGCAGTCCATACCCATTCTTTTTCTCACTGCCTGGTGTCAGTTTTTTCTTAGTTTGATATTTGATTTCCCCTTTGTGTAAATGAATGTAGAAATGTCTTCCTTTATTTTTATTATAATTTTTTCTTTTTTTTTTTTATTTTAAACCAGTCACTTTGTGTAGTAGGTAGCCCTGCAGAGAGTGTTCCTAGTGGGTGAACACAGGCAAAACTCAGCAAAGGCAGATGAGTGGCTGATGGCTCAGGAGCAGAACAGAGTTCAGGCTAAAACAGAAATAAAAAATAAAAATAAAAACGGTTTTAGGACCACTTAAACTATGTAAGCACTGCATGTGTGCAAAGTACCACGTGCAACTTGTAAATGTTTCTGGGTGTGAAAGCTCAGGGATGGAGAGGAGCGTTGGTTTGGATAATTTTGGGAGGCATGCAAGGCATTGTAGTGCTAATGTAAGAATTAATTCAAAGGGTTGGTGTATGTTTCTAAAATGTTTTTCACTGTCAAATTTCTCAAAAATATTTGCCATTTTAAACAGTGTTTTATTTAACTCAGGGCATAAGAGGCATTTTAGTAGGATTTAAAGTGTTTATTTTAGCCTAGTACTATAAAGGAGGGGATTTGTTGTAAGCAGAATTTCAGATTTGTCCCACTAATATGGGATTCTGGAGTTTTACCAGTTGCATGTTCTATATGTGGAAAATAATATGCAGAACAAGTAAATGAAGCAGTTAAACTTATTCAAAACGTTTGCATTTTTCTTCTTTTATCAGAGTTTCTTTTTATATTCACATCATGTGATTTTCTTTGATCTGTTAATACAAGAAAGTTTATACTTTGTTCTAAAAGTACTTTTGTTTTGTTGGTGGTTTTTCTTTTTTTTTTCCTTTTTTCCTTTTATAAAAAAATAAGTAAAGGCTGTATAGTTTGACAAAAGTTTAAGTTACCCTAGTGTTGCATGGGAACAGTGTTTCTTATGATCACAACAGCATGACTGAGTAGGCAATGTTTAGAGTATATTGACATTCAGTGTTGAATTTTGTGCACATGTTTTTTATTTCGTTGAGATATCTGCATGTCATTAAAATGTGGTTCATTTTCTTTTCTCATTAGTTCATTTTTTTCTATGTGTAAACACTGTAATTTATTTTAATTTCATTTTCTTACTGTTAAATTTATTTTCCTCTGTAGTGACATGTAGAAAGGTATTTTTGGTATCATTCTTTGACTTTCTCAGAGGGTATTATCTAACTGATGACAGGGAAAAAAAATTTGTTCACATTTGTTGCTTATTTATTGCACATCTCAATACAACTATAATTTTTCTAATTTGCATGTTACAGAAATGAAGCGAGGACAAGAAAAATATTAAATTAAAGAGAGAGAACATAAGCAAACAAGTGGTCATTGACTGAAATAATAATGTGCATGTTGTTTTCCCCCCTTCTCCCTCCTGCATGCAGGGATTTGGTTTCGTAACTTTCGAAAATAGTGCTGATGCGGACAGGGCGAGGGAGAAATTACACGGCACCGTGGTAGAGGGCCGTAAAATCGAGGTGCATGTTCAAAATATTTTCCTTTTCATCTTTTTTATAAATGTCTGCTTCACTCTCATTTGTTGTTTCAGATGCATCATTGGTGTCTTCTGTGTGCTCCCCTTTCCCCCTTCCCATTGTTTATATATATATTTATATATAAAGAGAGAGAATCTGGCCTTACTTGGGTTTTTTATTATGATTTCTTTTGTAATTATTATTATTATTATTGTCATTGTTGCTGAAAGGTGGATGACGGATTTGAAAGCAAAATAAAAAGAAAGCTTTAATATTTTGAAGTTATTATTTTCGATGTTTTGTAAATCAATGGGTGCAGTAGATTCCAAAAAAAACAGCCAACAAAAAACAAAAAAATTAGAAAAATTGAGAACAGCAACAACAAAAAAAAGTGTGACAGACAAAACAAAAAACAAACAAAAGGTTGTTTTTTTTCTTTTTTTTTTTGTTTTCCTTTTTTTTTCCTTTTTTTTTGTTTTTTTTTTTTTTCTTTTTGTTGCTGCAGGGTTGATGTGGGATCCACAGTGGCCTTCAAAAAATTCAGATTGGGAAAGAAGCATCCAAAAGATGCACAAGAAACAAAGCCAGACTAGAGACTGAGAAATATTCACATCTAATTTTCAGGAAGCTGGGTGGCCTGAGCCATCCCCATCTCCAAAAACCTCCAGCCACGTTTGCTGTGCCACTGGATCCCCTTCAACACTGCCTCAGTCGTATTTGTTAGAACTTAAAAAAAAAAAAGAAAAAAAAAAAAAAAGAAAGAATTACCAATTGAAAATGCTGTCGTCTTTTGAGTAAGATGTTGCATATTTTGCCTTTTCATTTTCCCCCTCGACGGTAGCGCTTAGGGCCCTCACCAAACTCTCAGTAACCATGGTAACTGTATACATACCCATGCTGGCGATGGTGCTGAATGGTAAGTGGAGAAGTCCATCTGCCGTTTCACGTATTTAGCGCTGATATACCACGTGGATTTTTTTGACTTGTTGTATTAAGTTTTCTTGATGCTACATTTTTTTCTATATATTGGTACGCCTGTAATTGAGTGTACGTTTTAAGCAAGCCTGGGAGGCACTGATTGGATTGAGGATATGACTTCGTGCACATCTTACTCAGATTGTTAACTCCATATTGTGTTAAATAATGCACCCTCTTTTTATCCTTTTGTTAGCTGTGATTTTAAAGCTTGAATGATTTTGTTAATTCTTGCAATGAAAAAGGCTCTTGTTCCAAGTGTTGAATGCTAGATGTTGCTTTTCCAATGGTACTTCTCTTCTAAAGGGTTATGTTGCACACTGCTAAAATTCGTTTGTCCCTTTTTTGACATTTTCTTTGTTTCCTTGTACCTTGTCTCTTTCCTTTCTACTCCACTGCATGTTCCTTCATGTAATCTTTTTCTTTTTCTTCTGTTTTGAGTATTTATTGTATCAGTGTTATCATGGAATACAAGCATGCTCTTAAGTCTTAAATTATGCAGTACCTTTTAATTTGCTTTTAATGTCTTTTTATTAAAGTTTAAATGATATGATGTTGCTTTATTGAAATGATTTGTAAGTTAAAATGGTTATGAAAGTAAATGTAATTATAAATAGTATGATTTTGTTATGCACCTGTTGCCTTCTATAAATTAAATTGCATTTTATTTTCACATGACTAATAGCAGTAATAATGCATGCCTTTTATAGTGACACAGGCCCTGCCTGTAACCCTTTCTAATCCCCTGTTCTATGTGCTTAGGTAAATAATGCCACAGCACGTGTAATGACAAATAAAAAGACCGTCAACCCTTACACGAACGGTAAGTGCGCGGGGCCCTGCTTGGGGTGACTGTCCCTGCATGCAACCCCCCAGTCCTGCTCAATGGGGCACTCACTGCTCCTTGGGGATCCCACTTTGCTCCTCCTGCCTTCCTGGGGCTCAGAGTCCTGGGATGTGATGGGGTTAGGCAGGAATGGCACCTCTGCAGAGCTCGGCTGATTGCCAGCCAGGTGGGCAGAGCACGAATCCCCCTGGCTGGAATCCCGTGTTGGACCCCAAATCTCCCTGGCTGGAATCCCGTGTGGGACTCCAAATCCCCCTGGCTGGAATCCCAGTGTTGGACCCCACATTCCCCTGACTGGAACTCCAGTGTTGGACCCCAAATCCCTCTGACTAAAATCCTAGTGTTTGACCCCAAATCCTCCTGACTGGAATCCCAGTGTTGGACCCCAAATCCCTCTGATTAAAATCCTAGTGTTTGACCCCAAATCCTCCTGACTGGAATCCCAGTGTTGCGCCCCAAATCCCCCTGATTGGAATCCCAGTGTTGGACCCCAGTGGCTTTTGTGGAGGACGTGGACCTGGTGGGAGAGTGATGTTCTCTGCTTTGTGCAGTGATAATGCAGTGATGAGTGAACTGATGGGAGGATTCAGCTTGGTTTGGGGCATGGGGGGAGGGAGACCAGCAAGAATGTCTTCCCTGTAGAACCTTTTAGTACCAGGGCACATATCTTGTCAAAGATCATTTTCCATATCTTCCTTCCACAATTTGCTAGAAGAAGGGAGACTGGTATTGAGTGCTGCTTCCAGCTTTTCTTCTTTTCCCATGGAGAAATTAGAATTCCAAGCTATCTAAAAACAAAATTCATTCTAATACTGACCTAAGTTGGTATAATGTTGTACATTAATGTTAGAAAAAGAATCCACAGCTATTTGAGACTTTGGAAACAATACATTTTTTAAATCTTTCCTTTGGGATGGTTGGATCATGTACTTACGTGTGCCATTACTGGTTCAGAAAATTCAAATTCAGAGAACTTCCTAACTCAGTCATGTCAAACAATAGCACATGAACTGAAGTTTATTGCAATTATGCTTTTAGTTCTGCTAGGCTCTGTAGTTGTTGGTATTTGGTTTACAATTTAATTCAGTTTTTCACATACAGAGGAAAGCAGATGAAATGTGCACATAAAGGTTTCCTGAGGTAGATTAGGCTCTTTTCCATTTTGAAATATAATGGATCATATTTTCTGTTCTTGAGGTGTCATTAGGGAGGTTTTACTAAAATCCAGGGCACACAGTGGCTTTATTTTTTATTAAAGCTCATCATTTTCTTGTAACACAGTAAAAATAAAACACAGGTATGGTTTTCATGTGATGTGATAATTGATGTAGTTAAAATTATCTGGAGAAGAAAGGCCTGAATTTCTTCATGCTTTCTTAGAAGCTGTTTTCTTCCTCATTTTGTATATAGATGTGAAGCTTGGCAAATTATGCAGATGGGAAAATCTCCTTGGTTTTCATTGGTTTTAAAGCATCCCAGTGAATCTAGAGAGAGACACAAGGCTTGACTGGATCACATCAAGAGATTTTGTTGTAATACAGAGCTAAATTAACCATGTGCATATGAGGCTATGAACTCTGCCTGCTATATTGCAATGACAAAAGTAGATTTCCTGTAAATGATGATGCATATTTTTTATTCATATTATCCTAAGGCTACAAAACTCTTCATGAGCAAATAACATGTTACATATCAGCACAGGCAGTGCTGAAGGAAGGGAATGCTGACAATAAGAGATGGGAGATTTTTAACCATGTGGTTTTAGAGGAGGTTCAAATCTATGTCCTGCACTGCAGGATTACTTAGGTCACACATTCTCATTTATTAATGTCCAAGACCAGGATGAGCAAAATCTGCTGTAAATTGTTTCCCACTTGAAGTGTTTTGTTTGTCATTTTCCATCCTGTTCCATCAGATCCAGATCTCACCAAAAGTATGAAATACCTTGTTCAGTGCATAAATAAGTAACATTTATTTATTGTGAACCAGACAACCAATGTGCACGCCTTTTGCCAGGTGTCCGCCAAGTAAACCTCTGCTTGCAATTCATAGCTTTTGATTGTTTAATCTTTTTTTACCATTTTTTAAAATGTGTGAAATCCCCTAAAGTAAACACACAAGGACAATCACGTCCCTCTTGCATAATCATCCCAAGCAAAAAGGAATGAAGTGTAAGGGGCTTCATTTGGTTTCATCAGTGCTTATACTATCAGTCATCCTGGCATGATACAAGTCTAGTTCTTTATCATTTTGTCAGGAATTAACCACTACTAGAACTGATTATTTATTGAAGATTATTATTGTCTAAGGTAAAGGGCTCATCTTTTAAATAAACTATAAGGCCAGTTTTTTCCACCAGCACATAAAAATTTGCAGAATTTCGTCTAATGCAGGTAGCCAGAAACATTTTGTTTGCACATGCCTTTCTGTTTCCTTCAGAACCACTTATTTTTTAATGCCTCTCTTTATCTTTCAAAGTGTGTGTTGTGACTGGCATGTTGTTGGCAGGTATTCAAAAGGTAGCTGGGGCACATGTTGTATTCTATCAAAACGTCAGGAACTGATATTTATTTTAATTTAAAAACAAGATACACTCTGTTTTGTGTTCCATTCCTGAATGCAGCTGGTTGTTTGATAACAGGGCTCATGTTGTTAATAGGATTGCAGAAGTCAGTGGATTTCAAGGCACAAAAACTTGGGTTTTTTAAAAAATATATACAGCTTTGTTCAAATAAGTGATGTGCTTTTGTGTCCTAAATGGTCCTTGAAATAAGTATGCTTTCCAGTGACTTTTGACTCCCCAAATGAGCAGCTGCTGGGAGAGCTTTTTTAGTGGGTTTGTTATCACTCAGGATGATTTTGATGGCTCACCTCGTGCTTTGGAGATACAACTGATTTCTCTTTTCAAGGAAATTCAGTGTCAGGAGTGCTACATGTTAGCAAAAATATTTGAGACATTTTTAGATGTTCCAACCCATCCTGTTCACAGCTGTACTTTCTTCTGATGCTCATATTGCCATTCAGGATGCTCATCCAAGGGTTGTAGGACACAGAGAATTATGGGCAGGTACATTCAGAGAACTGCAGTAATACAGGAGGAGCAAGAAGCAGAGATCTGTAAAAGGATAAATATATTTTAAAGTTTAAACTGGTGGTGCTTTGGATTTGAGCCTTCTGTTTCTCTAAATTTAGATTCAAAATCGCATCTAATGCCTATTAGCACAGTTAAATCCCCTCCCACTCCCTGTCCCCCTCTCTGGGTAGCAAACAGCAGGGAAGGAAATGGAGTCACAGGGTTCTTTCCTACCCAAGCCTTTCTCTGGCCATGGTGGTCTGTCCAGTCTATGAAGCAAAAATAATCCTTTTTGTGTTGCTGCACCCAGTTTCTACCACATCTTGTTCCCCCAGGATCATTTCCTTCCCTTCAGCACACTGGCCATGTGCCTCTCCGGATGGCTGGGAAGCTGGGTCAGGCAGAGGGTTTTTTCTTTGCTTGGCTGATTTTTAAGTTTCAAGCTTTTCCAGTTTCAGCTCAAGGAGGAGATTAATATTGTGACAGTAAGAAAAATGCACAAAATTACACCCACAGCCGAGAATTTGCCTCCTCCAGCTGCTGCGGAAGGGTTACTTGGCAGCTGCTCTCTCAGATACATCAACTCCCATCACACTTGATTAACCCACACAGCTATGGGCCAGCACATTGTTGGCTGACAAGATAAAGTTAAGTTTAATTACTGTTATTTTCACCATGAATGAAGTATTTCCTCCAAAGGCTTCAAAAAGTTAGATGAGACAGCCGTCACTGGGAGAGTGGTAAGGAGCTGAAATATGAGACTGCCTTTCAGCTGTGAAGAACAATCTGTGTCTTCCAAGATGATTTTTTTTTCCTTTCTCTCAGACAAATTGTGGCACTGTTAGTGTAACTTAGAAGTTGAGAGATGTCTGTCAGCTGCTTTGACAGCAAAAGCTGACAGATCTAAAGTTCTGTCCAATCTTTCATTTTGGATGGTTTTGATCAGTGGTCTTCTGAGGAAGTATCACATTTGAAATATTGGATGTTCCCTAACATATGCAAAGTTAGATTTTTACCCAAAGTCTCAAAATTTGAATGATTTTCTATCACACAAAATTTGGCTAAAGGTATATCATGCTCTGATGTTCCTAAATATAATCCTGTGGAATGTGAAATTCAGTGATCAGGTAAAACTCCTGTGGTATTTTTGGAGGAAAAAGATTTTAGCCCTCCTTGGCTGGACATTTTCCAGCTTCCCTAACTGTCTTTTGGCTACATAGAACAACTGCAGTCACTTCTACAGAAAGGTGTCATGCAAAACTGCTTACTCTGAACTTACTCATGAGTTACCTTTCAAAACCACCCCTCCCCTGTCTTACTGAAGAGTTAATTACTGGGAAATAATTATTATGCATGAGATGGAGATAGCTTGAAAGGATGGGAATAGTTTGTTATTGAGATTCTTTTGCATTGTACTTTTTTTACTATTATGCCTTGATGTTTTATGATTTTCCCCAGTCCTTTTGCATTACATGATATAGCCAAGGCAGAAATAAACCTTGAGTGCATTTAAATTCTTCTAATTGTGGCTTTTGTGATTTTGAAAAGTGTCTGGATTATGTGTTGATTCCAGTAGCAGTTGAAAGTTCTATTTTAAGTACCATAGCTCTGGAGTTTACAACATGCTTTTGCTGAGGGTATTTTTTCTTTATTCCCATTTACAAGAAGCGCTTCCCAATCCTCTGATTTGAGTGCGCTTTAGGAAAACCCCTAATTTTTCAGTTCCAGTGGTTCAAAATAATTGTTCACTGAAGGAAGAAGAGAGTGTGGCTGGGGGGATGTTCTGTGGAGTTTGCAGTGAGCTGGGAGTGGATCTACCTGTGGCTGAGCACACAGCAGTAATTGGCACTGCACCACAGCTGGGAACACTAACGAGTTTGCAGCACTTGATTTTGCTTTCTCTTGCCCCTCCTGTCCCTCCAGCTTGGTTATCTTTATTAAGATAACATCCCCAATGCTTTGCACACCCCTGGGTCTGCAGCCAGCCCGGGGATGCTGCAGCAGGTGTAAAGTGCAAGCAGTAATTTGGAGTTTGGCCAGACACGGGCAGAGCAAATCTGTGAGTTCTGTGCTGGGGTTCTGTGCAGGGCTGGAGGACAGTGATTATGGAAGAGCAGGGCAGTGGCTGATTTGTACCCCTGGACCCCAGGGAGCATCTCCTTCCTACAGACATTGCCATGCCGTGGCTGTGCTTTCCTTTTGCCAGGGTACAATCAAAATACTCCAATTATTTGGTTGCCCTGTAACCCTTGCTAGCAAAGGCTCATCAGAAATGTTTGTGTCCAGAGAATGAACTGTCCTGGCTCATAACCAGAGCCAAAACAGTGGCTGAGAATCATCTATCCTGTACTAGAGGCTATGGTATACCTGAAATAGTGCTGGCTCCATTCCAGAGCTTGGGGGAGTAAACCCATGTGCATTTCAGCCAAGGTAATTCACCTGGTCATTCACTCCAGTAAATGCCACATGTCTGGTGAATGCCTTGATTCATGACTTATTTCCATACCTCAGACTCTGATATTAGAGATCAGTAATTAAAGATAACTATGAAACTTGAATTACAGTGACCTTTCCTGAAGTAATTTTGTCTGTAATTTTTATACAACAGTAGTTAAAGTAATAATAATAGTTGTTATTATTATCACTAATTGCAATATTAACTGTTATGTTTCTGTTTGCTGCAGGCTGGAAATTAAATCCAGTTGTTGGTGCAGTTTATAGTCCAGAGTTCTATGCAGGTAAGAATTGCTCTATGATTGTCCCACTGACCATATTTCATTTTAGTATTCTTTAAAACATGCAAAAGTACAGAATTTGTGTTTGGTGTGAGGTTTGCTTTCTGTGTGTGATTCACATTATTTACAAGACATTTATACATTTGTGATTCAAGATTTTACTTTACCTGGGCATAGTAAACTTTATATAGAAGATATATGAATGCCTTTTTTATTGGAAAATAGCTAGTATAACATGAAATGTACTGCAATATCTTAGTTTTGCATGAGGTTTTATTTTATTTCATATTTTAGTGCAGTCACCTTCTTCCAGGGATTCTTTAAGAGACAACAGCCAAAAAAATCTTCTCTATAAATATATATATATAGAGAGAGAGTGTACGTACATGTATGTAGACATACATAGGTATAGACTATATGGAATTATATTTTTTTTCTGAGCATTTTTCTTTACATTTTATTGTTAGTTTTTCAGTTTGATGTTTTTGTGTTTTAAATCTATATTTTCACCTGACTGAGACTAAATTCTGATTCTGATTGCAGTTTGGAGTTAGAGATTCAGTTTTTGTCTGCTGGAACTCAGTTGTGGCTAGCAGTCATTTTTTTACATATAATTTAGGAACAGAATTGAAAATAAACTTATTTGTAGTCCAAAACCCAGTTGATTCCAAAGGAATTTGAATGCTGCCCACAAACAGCCATCAGGAAAGCATTTATGGATGGTAGTTCAGCCTGGGAAGAGGTTGTCATGTCTGCAGAAGCTGGGGAATCTCCACTCATGGAGATATTTGAGTCTCCAGTTCACAAAGCTGAAAAACTTTTGTTAATTTGAGGGACTTCAGGAGATGAAAGTTGTTGAAAAGGACACTATTACACTCAAACATTTGTGGTGAAAAAACAGCTTCTACTGAGATAGATAAAAATCTTCAAATTAGGGTAAAAGTGGCAGAGTATAATAATAAAAAAACCTAACTTGGCATTCATGGAATTGCAGTATTTGGTGCAGGCAGAATTTATTTCCTTGCTGATGTATGTCTATGTTGAAAACAGGAATTTAACATTGATCTCGTTTGAGTAGTTAGTGAACCAACCCTGAACCTGCATAAATTAGAAAGTCAGAGTTATTAGTCATTTTATATAAATGACTTTGTGTTAATGACAAATATAATAATATTCCCATAGTACAGTAATCAATTTTCTAATACGTATGCAGAATTAACAATCTGACTTATAATTGTCTCATGAAGTAGGGCATGAAGAGTTCACATAGTTTGTAAATTAAAATCAATATTTTCAATCTCTCATGAAGGTAATTTTCCTAATTTACTGGACTTTTCCCTAACATTTATTTTGTCTTTTAATTATAAAATGGCAGGTTATTGATTTTTTTGTATAGCCTCCTAAAGTCCCAAGTGCATTTTTATTGCCAGCACTAGGGAGGTGTTTGCCCTTCTTAATGAGAATCTTTAATTACCATTAGAAGAGTATTAATTTAATTTTATGAATTATGACACGAACTCCACCACACCTTTGCAGAAAGTTCCATCAAGATACTTCATTTATTTCTGATTTTTTTTTCTCTTTATACATGTAGGCAGGCTTGTTTTGTTGCATTTCTGGGTTTTTCAATGTTTGGGTTTTGTTGGGTTTTTCAGTGCACGTCAAATGCTTTTTATTTATATTGACTAAAATACAATATCTCTCACATTTAAACATAAAAAACTTTTTTTAAAACAATTTAGTCAAAATTGTGGAGATCTCAGGAAATGAAACAGTAAAACAACACTGCAGTTCTTGCATTTCAGAATAGAACGCCGTGACTTATCTTTACTTTTGGGTTCCCTTCACCACCTTTCTTAGAGAAGAAGCAATTTAATTTTTGATAATTATAAAATTAGAGATGTGGTTTTTAAGACAGTCAGAGTTCTACTTGTTTAGTTTACTTATTGTCTCCAGCACTGCCATGACAAAACTGCACCAACTTTTTCACAGTCAGCGCAAGAAGTTCCTGTAGCTCCTAATAAATGATGAAAAATTTGGCCACTTCTGAAATAAAGATGATACATCTACAGAGAAACTGTTGATTTGAAGTACCTTTAATCTTCATAAATAAGTGAAAAACAGAAGGTTATACAAAGCTGTCAGGACGGCACTGATGAATGGCAAATTCCCCCGTTCCTCAATTGCCGGCGGCGCCGCGGCCGCGAGGCTTCCCCGTATTGTACATCAAATCTGCCAACTCATTTCTGTGATTAAATATTCCATCAGTGCGGGCTGCAAGGCGCTAAAGCTTAACAAGATTCATAAGATGCACCACTTGAATACACATAACTCACTGCCTTGGATGGAGAGCACCCCGCGTGCACAGGAAAATTAGAATGGAGTTAAATTACTCCGCGAGACAAGATCAATAGAGAAAGGAGAAGATCCCCCTAATGCAATGCAAATCTAAGATATAGTTATGTCCTGACAACTTGAAGCAGACAATTAAAGTCAAATAGGGAGGAACACAGTGTAAATCAACCCTAAAACCTTGGAGATAATGGTAAACAGTAGGACCAGTGACATGATTGTTATAGCTCGGGGTTTTTTTGGAGTGTACACTTCTGTGAAGGAAAACCTTTCTTGAGAAAATGAGTGGCAGCTAAAAATGGAGACTCTGAGGTGCACAACACCTTGTGGACTCAAAATACTGTGTATTAACAAAAAACTATGGATTTCTCTTCCAAGGCGGTTTTTGTGCCTGTTTTTGGTGCTGCAGTAAATTGCAGCACTCTGGCAATGTGGCTCTTTAGTTGTGGTGAGACTGGTGTGGATTTCCAGGGACACATTTGGGAAGGGCCCTCTGGAGACTCCTGCTGCATTTCCAGGGCCTAGCAAGGCTCCCTGGTGGCCACCAGCTCCTGCTCTTCCCACCCTTCTGCTGAGAAAATGATATTTTAGGGAAAACTACAGGGTATTTTTTTTTCATGTGTCATTCTAGCTTTTCACAGAATTGCGTTTCTCCATATATGATCATGGATAGGAAATTTTTTAAAAGATGGCTTATGTCCACATAGCCTCCCTCTAATAAATAAAAAATTTTCCTTGAGGGTTTCCCCCTTTTAGGGGATTTTCCTCTTATGAGAAAGGAATTCTTAATGAAGTTGTGTTATCCATCTCTTATCTTTTCCAGTAAAATATTTATTAAACTCTTAGGCAGGTCCTAGTAGTTTGTAAGAAGCACTTTGTGATTTGTCTCACTAACTCTTCATGGAAACTGGGATCATTTTTTCGTCTATTTGTATTTCCATCCAGTTTTAAATACATCCCATAGTCTTCCTGTATTTAAGCTAGAGTCTGTTCTTTTCCCCATACACTCATTTATGGCTGAGAAAATACACATTTGCAGCTGGGTTTCTTTACTAGATGCTCTGGTACTTTCTTTGTTTCTGCAGTTTGTTATAATATCATTTTCACCTGCTTATTTTTATATAGTGTATATTTTATCTGTAATACCAAGCCTTTCTTTCTGCCTCAGGCATTCTGACAGCCAAGTTCCATGTTGTTCCTTTCAGTTATTGCAGATCTTTTTGTTTTTCTCTTTTGGGTTTTGGAACAATGAATTTTTGAGCAATCTCTTGCACTCTCCTTATTGAAATATAGAATATTATTGCACCTGTGTTGCTACAGCAGATCAGTCCTGTACAGCAGGTAGCATGAGACACAGTAAGGCTACTTAAAAAGACTTTTTTATTCCTGGCAGAAAACAGCTTTGTTATACCTGCTGGAGAGGCTCCTTTTTGGCAGCTCCCTAATGCAAGGTGGGGGAAAAGATGTTACAGAAATTTCCTGGAAATCTAGTGAATACTCTTCCAGAGAACAGGGAAATTCACAACAACTCATATGAGAAGATAGTCTTTTCTGGTCATAAACAAAACCAGTATTTCAGAATTTTCAAGATTGAAGTTGGCAGTGGAGAAAGAAAGGACTGAAGATTAGAGGTGAAGAACAATTAGAGCACAGCTGAGTGGAAAGCAGAAGACCCCACCCTTCTTTTTCTTAAGTCACTATTATTCTTCCTGAGTTTTATTAAGTTCTAGGAATTTCAGGAGATAGTTTCAAGTCATCCCAATAGCTGAGTAGTTGTATTCATTTCATAAATAACCTTAACCCAGTGAAGACCATTGTAAAAACCCAGTTTCTTGGGCAGTTATTCCATGGCAAAATTTTCCCCATCACTCAAAATGAGAGAGAGGGGAAAGGTCTGTGCATTTTTATGTCTTTTAAAGGCCTCAGAAGTCAGAGAAGTTCTAGCTGCCCAGGTCTTTTTGGCACTTGGAATCCAGCAGCATCCACCAACAATCAGATTTTGTAACAAAGTTTCTTTCAGAAATTTGTTCAAGGGTTTGGAATAGAATGTTATATATAATTAGAAGTAAAGAACTACCACAGCAATATATATATAAAACCATGCCCTTAAGTAAGATGAATCCAGGGGAAGAGAGGATTCCTGTACACTTGCTAATACTAATTCTCTTTGTTCATGTCTTAAAGCATCTATTTCTGGAGTGTAAGAGCACCTGGGATTCATTTCGTCTTTCTAGTGTTTCTCTTTGAATTTAAATGAGTCTTGCATAAGCTCAGCAAATACCCTGGAAACAGTTCTCAGTGTTTGGAGTTTGGGAAGCTGAGTTATATGCTTGCACAGCATTCTGATCCTGGGGTAAAAGTTCACTCTATCATATCTCTAAAGCAGAATTTTTCTAAAAGCTGTCTGTCACTCCATAGATTAACTCATTTCACTATTTGATTACATACACTTGGGTTCAAACTTTGTTATTGACTAGGCAGATTTTTCCAAATATATTTGCAGTCATGTTAGATAGTCAGCTTAAATAATTTTCTAACTACAGTCAAATAATTATTGTTTAATATTCCACCTGTGATATTTAGGTGCTCCTTTTCAACATATAACACACAGCTGTAAGTGTTGTTTCAAAAATCAAAAGTACCATCATCCA